CCTTCGTTCAACTACCTCCTCCGCCCCAGTCAGTGTCAAATTTGACCTGCGCTTTATTGTGCTGCTGAAAAGTGTACAGCCGTTGCAGCTGTACGTTTACCGAAACTTTTGGATTCGCTTTGCCAATCGGGCCTTCTCAATGGACGAGCTGGAAAGTTATGAAAAGCACTTTACGGTGATGAATTATGCAGCTTCTGCAGAAGGAGAAGGTCAGGAAGGCAAAGTTCAACTGCGACAAATGTTCTGCTCTGAGTTTATCGGCCACTTTGACGCCCAATACGGCAAGGGCAGCTGGGCCCGACTGCAGACGGACACCTACGCGGCCATTAAGGAGGCTTTTGAGTGCGCCACCATGAAGGAACCGCCCGCCGGAATTGGCCACTGCGTCCAATCGCGAGCCATGTACGGCATTGATGTGCTGCCTCGGTGGCGAAGGTCGTCTAACGGTGGAAAAGATGAGGAAGAGGAGGAAGTGATGCAGCCAACCCTGCTCGAGGTCAACTGGATGCCCGACTGCAAACGGGCCACCGAGTACTACCCTGATTTTTTTAACGAAGTCTTTGCCACCCTCTTCACTGATGAGCCCGTCTCGGAAAATATGCTTCTCCTGTGAGCATTATAAAAGTACTTTATTTTATCGAAAATGTAAATTATATTGCATAAATCAGCGCTGAAATATGTTTGAGGTTAAATGTTGGCATCGTTCAATCAGTTGTTCTCTTTAATTGTCTTCCAAATCCAGTCGGAGTAAGATGAAACATGGGTTAGCATTTGAGCTTGATCTTTTCCTCCACAAGGAACGCCACCCCAGCTTTCAATGCCCACCACCGTCCAATGTTCATTAATTTTTAGCATAAGTGCTCCCCCAGAGTCACCCTAAGAATTTTAAGCAAATTAAAAACAGTGAAAAACAGCTTCCAATAAAGTAAAACAGTAGAGAAAGCACACTTACAGTGCAAGGAGACAATCCCAAGTCGTAAATGCAGATCATCGTGTTTGCCAGGTTGTCATCATAAATCGAGTACTTTCTGCGGCACCAGTCCATAGAGGCAATGTGCAGCTGCGCCTTCATCAGTACATCTGGCGTGCTTGAGTCTACACCGGAAATTGTGTAGCCCCAGCCGGCAAAGGAGGCTAGCGTGTGGTCGGGGTAAGGGTCATAGGTGGTGTTTTGCGGTGGGACACACAACGTTCCCAAATGAGGGTTTCCGGCCAGTTTGAGTGGACTTTTCAGTTTAACCAGCCCAACGTCATTGTGCAACTTGTCTTTATAAGTAAACTCAGGGTGACGGATGAACAACTCTATAGGGGCGTAGGCCTTGTGCGGTTCCTTTGCCTGATAGTTGACATTGTGAGCGGCTGTAAAGCGGTTTTAAAGAAACAAAAATCAAAACATGAATGAGTATAAAAAGTATACTTTCGGTTTTCCCACAACAATAACAATTACACCTACCGACAACAGCCACCGGCGATTTGCTTTTTTCGTCAAGTCCGTCGCAGTGACCCGCTGTGAGCACCCATTGCTCAGTAATCAGCGACCCTGTGCAGGTGTGAAAGTATTTCCCAAAAACATCAGGCCACCCCAGTGACACGACCCAAGGCCATTCGTGTGGTACCGCCTCCTGACCGCCCACAATGCGAGTATCAGGTGTAGGAGGTGGCTTTATGCCGCAGTTAGGGAGGTTTTCGGAACGTACCGAAAAGGCAATTGCAAGTAATGACAAAAGAGGGAAGATCATATCGAGAAAGCGGTTCATAATCAAGCAAAGAATAGTCTTATTTAGAGTGTTCTTATCAGTTCTTAAACATTGAGTTTATATACTATTTTTGAATGAAAACTATTACGTAAAATGCTATAATTTTAAATTTAATATTTTTAAATAAACCACTTTTGCTGCAACAAACCGTAATATTAATTTACTTGCATGAATGACAGCAAGTTATTTAATTTTTATGTAATTTATTCAGCTCATACTTCTACGATTGTCACAACCTCCCCTTGCGGAGAGGACTCAGTTAAGTCCAGTTACATACTGAGTTTTTGCCTGTGCGGTGTTGTGAAGGGAAACTAATGAACCGGGGGAGTTGTGGCCGGCCCGCCAAAAATTTTTTAGTAAACATAAAATACCAAAGGTTAAAACGCAATAAACAAACATCTGAACTATTGGCTCCCTTATCTATAAAATCAATGTTTTATTTTGTTCCTAAATTAAACACCCGAAAATTACCCCTACAAATCCTTAGCTGGATCACTGGTGTCAATGTCCGCCCAGAGGGGAAAGTTGATCAGCTGTTCGAGTGGTCGGCCACCGCCACAGTACTGCTCCACCTTCTTTACCACCAGCGGAAAGAGGTTGGCATGCAACAGCTGGGCGCCGGCAAAGGAAAGATGCAGACCGTCGGAGAAGAGCTCCTCACTGTTGGGCTGCTTCGAGAAGAGCGAGTACAGGTCGAGGAAGGTGACGCCCTGTTCGGTGGCCACTCGACCGGCAGCCGCCGCGTACTCGCCCACTCGTGCGTTGCTCTTCACGGGAATGTCCGGCTTGGTGCGATTGGCCAAGTACACCTCGTGAAAGTAGTTCGGCGGGGACATCAGCACCACACGGTCTTTGGCAATGCCGATGCCACCGTCGAGGTAGGCGATGATGGCGGTCAGATTGCGGGCGTACTCCTCCAGTGGCACGTGCTGCCCGCCGGGCGACTCAGGCTCATTGGCGTCATTCGAGCCGAGGAGAATGGTGATGCAAGCGACGTCATTAGCTGGGAAACTCCCGAACACTTGCTCCTTGATCAGATTGCAGTAGCGGCTGTTGTAGCCGGAGAAGCCGCGGGGAATGACATCGNCAGGTTGCGGGCGTACTCCTCTAGTGGGACGTGCTGCCCGCCGGGCGACTCAGGCTCATTGGCGTCATTCGAGCCGAGGAGAATGGTGACGCAAGCGACGTCCTTAGCTGGGAAACTCCCGAACACTTGCTCCTTGATCAGATTGCAGTAGCGGCTGTTGTAGCCGGAGAAGCCGCGGGGAATGACATCGCAGACTCTAAGGGAAAGAGAATCGGTTAAAGGTTTGGATTAGACAAAGAGTAAACAGTAAACCTTTGAAGTGTGTCCGCCAGCAGAGCTCCCCAGCAGCCGACTTGGGGTTCAAAGCTTCGCTGAAAAAAAGTGTTAGCATAAACAAAAAGTCACAGTAAAAACCTGTACCTACCTGAGTGATGGAATCCCCAAAGAGGATCACCTTTGGCCAGTGAACAATCTTCTTGGACATCTTGTGCTGGCTGTTGTTATTCTCTCTCAATGTTTTGCACCTTTTGGACTCTTTTTTCCCACTTTGCACTCATTCGTCAGAGGGCACTGTTGGCTCGAGCATTGGTGGGTATGATCAACAACTGATGATAACTTGTCTGCTGATCAATGTACAGCATTGATAAGACACTTGTTTGTTGCTGATCCAAGGTACAGTAGAAAAACCTTTATCAGAAGCTCAACTGTTGCATAAATCTTTATTAATTAGGACAAGAGGGTGCAGGTTACGGCATGATACTGGTACTCAAAGGGGTACACTTTAGAAAGATAATAAGAATACACAATGAGTATATGGTAGACACTTGATCATAATTGTAATCAAATGATAGAGATCACATACGGTAATTAAACAATTTTGTTTTCTTGCAAAATCTACTCTGAAGGTGCGGAATTTTGACTATCCTCTTCTTGAACAGCTGCTTTTAGCTCACTGTCATCAGCCGCTGCTTTGCTTTTGCTTGATTGCCTCTTCGGTTTTTGGGCATTCTCCTTTTCTTTTTCATTATTGAAATGCGCCAGCCAAGTGACCAGTTCGGGCACTATGTGCTCAAATCCAAGATGGGCAATTGACTCGAGTACGTCCTGTGAGTGAATCGTCCTTCGGTTCTTGCTTGAAGCCACCTCATTGGCTCTGGTTGTCGAGTAGAGAATGAAGAGACTGGTAGCTCGAGACAGCGCTTTGACGTAGTCCTCTTGAACTGCAAAAGTAAACCCATCAACGTTACCCATCAATCTACAGCTGCTTTACAAAAGAAAGCCCTTACCAGAAATGTTGTCAGTGACCGTTTCGGCGATAATCTTCGTGATAACATTCAGCGGAATATTAAAATCGGCAGCATTGAGAGTCATGATTACTTCTTGCTGGGGAAACAAAAATAATAAAAACGCCGAAGTTGTCGTCGTTCACCAAAATCGCGCATTTGCGTTTGCAAAAACAGCGCGGCTCTTGAATCGCCGCTATTTCCACCTGACTGGCTGTGAAAGTCAGTCTGTTTGTCCTCAAAAGCTCATCATCTCTCGGTCGGCGACCACAACACTTTTGTCTGTTGTTCCTCGGCTCTCGACCAGATTATCACCCGTGTACCACCCACCACATTTTTCTCGGAACCACCATCACCACCGTCTGAAGATGCTCTCCGCCGGTGCCCGCAAGCTGTTGGCGATGCGCCAGCTCGCCCAGACCGTCCGCAAGTTCTCCGACCACCATGTGGTGCCCGAGAAGTTCAAGCACCTGCAGCGTCTGCACATGGACGTGGGCTACCCCGTGCCCAAGGAGCTGTACGTGGACGCCTACGCCCGCCAGCAGAAGAAGAACAACGCCATGCTCATCTTCTCCGTGATCTTCCTCGCCTCGGCGGTCGCCTACACCACCGCCAGTGACACCTTCGACTTCCTAGCGCCCCCGCCACGCGAGGTGAAGAACTGGAAATAAACACGGACACACAACTAGAGCCCTTGGGTACCTCTTAGTGTGTCTGTATTGTCACTCTTTTTCAATCTTCATTTACCAACTACCGCAAATATTATTATTATCCTGAGATGTAGATTTGTAAACACAGCTAAACGCGGGGCTCCGAAAATGTAATAATAAAAATAGCCCAATGTTTAAACATGTTCGCATGCATTGTATTGAATTTGTAGAAAAAGAAGGGAAAGGGGTATTTACAAATGATCTTAGTCAGTAACTTCGTTCCTCAAACCCTGTTCGGCGCGACGCTGCTGCTCGGACAGGACAAACAGGCCATCAGATACTCCATCTTGTTGACGAAGGTCTTGCCGGGAATGCGCGGCCAGTCGACCGTCTTGAAAGGCCCGTTCAGCTGCTCCCACTGCGGATTGTTCACCAGCTCCGTCTGGAAGAAGAACTCCTGCGGCGCCGAGGAGAGCTTCACTTTGATGCCCGAGTGCGGGCCGCTCTTCACCGACAACATCCGACTGCCGTTCGAGGAGAGGATGGTGATGGAGGTGGCCGTGCCGCACACCGGCTCCTGCTTGCCCACGCCCACGTTGGGCGTCAGCGAGATGACCCGCCAGCCGGTGGCCTTCGCCAGCGTCTGCACCGCCAGCAGCTGGTGCTGCGCAATGAGGTTCAGCAGAAAGTGCCGCAGCTCCTGCGACTCAAAGGAGAGGTTCATGACGCGCCCGTCACGGAGAATGGCCTTCACTGTGCGCGTGCCAATGTGCAGCATCACCGAGGTGCGGCACCCGTTCAGCGCCTCGTAGTTGAAGGAGTAGAGGTCAATGCGAACGGAGGTCTCCGTGGGCGAGTTGAGGTAGTTCCAGCAGGGCACGATCAGCGGGTCCTGCACCTCAATCGCCAGCGAGTCAATCAGACACATGGTGCGCAGGCGGAGCATTGAGTGCTGGCCCTGCTGAATCACCTGCTCAAGAATGGTCTCAGAGTGCGTCAGCTGGGTGAGCATCTCTCGGTCGTACGCCCTGGGCCCGCAGAAGAAGCGCGCCGAGTTGGTGGCCAGCGTAGCCGACGCCGGATGGGGCAGAGGGTGGTGCAGATTTCGGTAGTGTATTTTGTAGAGCAGCTGGTGGAGGGTGTGCTCGAGAACGGCGTTGTTTCCGCTGAGCGCTTCAAATGAGCTGGCTGCACTGCCACTGCTACCACTGGAGGAGGATGAAGAGGTGTGACACAGATTTATGGACAGCTGCAGGCCAGGAAATAGTGAGGCGATGATTTGATTTCCTGCGGCGATAGTGGGAATGGGCAGCTTTAGCTGGACGGACTCTCGTGCCAGGCGGTTGAAGAGTTCGTTGTTGAAGAGCATGTTTTGAATGCTCTCCAGCTTCGCCTGCCACGGCTGATCAGAAGAGGCGGCTGCAGAGGCGGCGGCAGCAGAAGGGGGTGGGTTGTGAAGCTTCAGCGGCTCAAAAAGCGTTTTAAACTGAGATTTGCTGTCCTTGTTTGTGCGAACGACGAAAAAGTTGCCACCTTCAAGGGACTTTGGAATGATGATGCGCAAGGCACTAGGGTTCTGTGGCGTTTGGTTCTCATTGCGGACCACCTCAAAGGTGCCCGGTTGTGCGAACATTGAGCCGGCGCTTCGGTAGCTTAGATCACCCAAAATGGTGGAGCCCTTCTTCCGAAGGCGCCAACTTTGCCGCATGGCGAGTAGCTCCGCGTGAAAGTCGACCCGAGTTCGCGACACTTGATTCTGCTCCGCCTGAAGCCGCTCGAAAGCAGTGGAGATGATGGCAGCGGCTTGCAGAAGGCCCTTCTTCTTCGCAACCAGCACTGTGATGGGCTTTTCTTCGCTTTTGTTCACATCTTTGGCCACTCGATCGATGACAAGGTACTCCTGTTCTTTGCCCACTTTAATGACGTCATGCATAACCGAGACGTTGGTCAGCGCCTGCATGATCTTCGCCTTGATCGAGTCAAATTGCGCCGAAGTGCCTGAGAGTGGCGTTCTCTGGGTTGGATTAATAAAAGACGCCACATTGATTGGTATTTCAGGCACCTCGATATTCTCATTCTCAGCAATTGAACCACCTTGATCGTTCAGAGCGACGGAGAGTTTTTCGAAATCAATTCGATTTATGATTCGAGCAAAGTTCTCCGACATCGTCAGAGGCTGCTTGTAGATCTCCGTGCCGTCGGGGTAGATCTCCTGGACCATAAACTCGTCGCAAACTTCCATGCTGACGTTCAGCGGAGGCGCCGTTGAGGTGTTCATGGCGGCAAGGTTGCTGCTGTCGTTGTTAGTTGACAATTGGTGATCACTTTGCAATGAAAAAGAAAGATTGAAATGATTGACCAGTTAGTGACTCATCAAGCAAAAGGTGAGAACACACATCACCATCACTTACCCGGGCAAAGGCGCAAGTTGCGCAAAATATTCGTAAAACGCTGCCAATTGTGGTCGAGGATGACAGAAGGTTGGGGAGATAATAAATAAAAGCAGACTGCAGTTTGCAGGCAATCACCTCATCAATCACCTGGCAAGGAAGATACCGGACAAAGACTCAAAACATCGGCAGATTTTTTTTCGCTCTATCGTCCAGAATTGACCCAACCGGTGACGGGCGGAGTCACAATAGTGTCCACTTTTGCTTGTGGCGGCAATTTTTGTTTCTTGCTATCCTCTTCCAATTTTTTGAGAATCACCGAAGCTAACGATGTCATTTACCTGTCAATGGGCTGTTGTGTAACAAAACCATAGCTTTGTGTATGTGTGTGTTTTTCCTTTTTCAAACTACTCTGTCAGCAAAGCAAGGCTTTGATCTTGAAATCTGTCATCATAATCGTGTCGTGATTGCTCCTCTTTTCGTTCATTCATTCGCCACCACTCGAAAAGTGTGCGCCTTACCATCCTCAGCCACCACCATCATCATCATCAGACGTGTCAAACAGGCAGCCATTGTGAAACAATTGTGTGTCACAATTGTGTCTGTTTGGATAGTCTGCAGGTCTGAAGTACATCTGCAGTCATCGAAAAAAGTGAAAGTGTGCGCTGCTTTTATGGACAACTCTGTTCTTTTTTGCCATGCTGGTCCCTAAGTTTGGTGTGTGTGTGGAGATGAGCACGGAAAAATATTGTGTGTGTGTGTTGTCTTGGGCGCCAGTTAAGTGGTGCTGCGGCAGCAGGCGAGGACTGTGGCACTTGTGGTCAGCAGCAAATTGGATTAGCACTTGTGATCGGTACGTGGGCTTGCCCTCACTTGGACACACCACTTGACTCGGACTGGACTGGATTGAGGAAAGAAAGGCTGCTGATGCAGGACACGGGCTGATGCTGTTGCTGCTGATGATAAAGTTGTCTGTGAGTGAATCCCATGCCATCGATGGATCACTGACGACGTGCCAATATTCAATATCGACTGGCTGAGCCACCACCACCACCATCGCCAGCGTCTTCTTTGCTACTAAACCGTCATTAAGTGGCTCGTGATCGGTGCCTGACTTCTTGATCGCAACAACAGCAGGAGCTGCAAAGTTGACGCTGTCCTGAAAGATGGAGGATGCAAAAAAGCCACAGCGAAAGTGAAAGTGAAAGTAAAAGTAAAAGCGAGTGACGAGTTGAGACAATTAAAACTCGATCGAGTGCTTGAGTGCTCCTTGCTCTGCTGCCGTTACTGTTGCCGTTTGCTGGAACTGCTGGCGCGGCTAAGCAAACAACGAACAGCAGCAGCAGACGCAACAACTCTCTGTGGTTGCCGTAAGTGGTCAACTGGCCGTTTTTGTTCAATTGATGCACTAATTCGAGGCATTGTTGCAGGCAGGCAGTCTGGCCAACTCTCGCTTGTCCATTTCTCTTTCTTTCGCTCTTACTCTTTCCCTGTCCGATGGCCGTCGTATTTAAACGACCGCGACCGATGTTCAGTGCATCAATCGAATCGTGGTCATCGTAGTCAGCGTTCCTCTACTCTACTGTTGTTTTCTTTAACTGTATCTTTTGCCAAACTCTCTATTCAGACAATGCTTCGGGTAAGTGCAACTCAACTCTAATGACCAACATCAAATGTGAATGTTCATCACTCATCTCATTCCATCCTTTCTTCAGTTTGTCGTTCTCGCCACCTTTGTTTCTTTTTCCGCCGCCGCCGGTGGTGGCTATGGTAGCGGAGGCGGAGGCGGTGGTGGCACCAAGGGCGGCTCTTCCTCAGGTGGTGGCTACGGAGGAGGAGGCATGAGCATGAGCATGGCCTTTGGAGGTGGTGGCTCCAAGGGCGGCTCTTCAGGCTATGGTGGAGGTGGTAGTGGTATGTCCTCGAGAGGCATGTCCGCTGGTGGAGGTTATGGCGGAGGCAGTGGTGGCGGCGGTATGTCCGGATACGGAATGGGCGGCGGAGGTGGTCAGGTGGTGCAGGCGGCAGTGCAGAGCAAGCACCAGATCGAGTACAGGGACGTTCCTAGCTCGCAGGAAACAGTTCCAACCACCATCGAGGTGGGCGCCAACAGTGTCCCTCTGAACATTCTCTTCCGAAGGTAAGAGAATAACTGAATAAGGTGAAATTGGCTGCTAACAACACTTTGCTTCTAAATTCTCAGTGCCTCATCGAACCTGAACATTCAGCAGATGCACGAGGGTGCCGGTGGCAGCAACCAGGAGACCAGCAGCGAGGATGAGCCCCATCTGCTGAAGCACCAAGTGACCAAGCCAAGTAAAATTCTGTTCTTTACTCAGTCATTATTCATTCTAACCATTTTTTTCTTTCCCTACAGTCATCCAGGAGGTATTTACTTATAAAGCGTTTGGTTTGAGGTGATAACAGGTAAACTAATCAACATCACTTTCCTTCCGTTTAGGTGATTGAGCGAATCGTTCCTCAGCGAAAGATCACACAGGCAAGTTTTTGCTAACTGATAGCTATAATNGATTCTGTTCTTTACTCAGTCATTATTCATTCTAACCATTTTTTCTTTCCCTACAGTCATCCAAGAGGTATTTACTTATAAAGCGTTTGGTTTGAGGTGATAACAGGTAAACTAATCAACATCACTTTCCTTCCGTTTAGGTGATTGAGCGAATCGTTCCTCAGCGAAAGATCACACAGGCAAGTTTTTGCTAACTGATAGCTATAATGTTCTTAATCACCTTACTAATCACTTAATACCATCCCTACTGATCAACAGGAGATCCAACCAGTGCAGGAGGAGATTCTCACTATCGTTGCCCGCGGACAGGACCAGAAGAAGGACAGCTACGGAGGAAGCGGAGGTGGCGGTGCCGGCGGCGCCGGTGGCTACGGAGGCGGTGCCAGCAAAATGTCGCAGATGTCCTCGTACGGCGGAAGCGGCGGCGGCGCCGGCGGAAGCTCGGCTGGTGGTCGCAAGGGCTACTAAGCATTACAGAGTACTACCATTCAGTTTCAACTAATCTGCTAAATGGCCGATCTCTCTGGCACCCCCACGACTCTCTATTTATTGTCATTATTCTGTCATTACCACCACAGATCATTACTACTGTAGCACCCTGAACATTTAATCAGCAATAAACCTGTAACTTATCTTGCCAATGCGGTGTTGATTTACCGATGCCGATCTTGGAACAGCGATCCGTGCTTTATGGACAGCTGCAGCAGCAGCAGCAAAAGCAGCGGATGCTGTACAGCAGAAGCTGCCAGCTGGTTTTGTGTGCACCAGTTTTCTGTTTTCTGTGTTCTACGAAGTAAGAAACAGCAGTCCGGCAGCGGTACATTGTGCTGCAGCAGCTGCCTCGTATCTGCTCTGGTCACGCCACTTGTCACTGCGATTGCTTTTCCCTGCCATTTTTCCCCCAGTGTAACTTTGCTGATAGTGGTCTCGGATGGTAGTGGTGATCTTTCCTGCAATTTGCCTGCTGCTGTCCTTCTCCAGCACCTCCTGCCTCCTTACTGCCTCTTCCAGCAGCAACAACAGCAGCAACAGCGACTGGCCATCGAGATGAATGCCACTGCTTTCACATGTTGCCAGCACCAGCATTGACTCGCCTCATCGGTACAGGTCGCACGCTAGTGAATGTGACTTGTAGTCGACTCCCTTGCCACCACCATAGTCATTATTGTCGTCTGTCGTCCTGTGCTCTACCGGCCTCTTCAGGTATTGTTGCTCGTTGGCCACACTTGTTAGAGCAAGCGACAGCTGCAGCCTTCAGGCAAGCTTCTCCACTGCTACCACCACCATCGTCGTCAGCACTGCGGCCAATAACAACGTTGAGAGCCTTAACCACCAGCACAAACCATCAGCAACAGTTCACTGCTAGAAAGATGTATTCCTGGGACAACCTGCCAAAGCCCAATGTCATCTTTGTCCTNATTAAGAGCCTTCCCCACCAGCACAAGCCATCAGCAACAGTTCACTGCTAGGAAGATGTATTCCTGGGACAACCTGCCAAAGCCTAATGTCATCTTTGTCCTCGGCGGCCCCGGTGCCGGTAAGGGCACCCAGTGTTCACTCATTTGCAAGGTAAGTTTGATCTCTCCTCCTTTTCCTCTTTTTCCTTCTTTCTTTCCTCCATCTGACCACTCTTTCAGGAGTACGGTTATGTGCACCTGTCCGCAGGTGACCTGCTCCGAAAGGAGCAGGACACGCCTGGCTCGCAGTACGGCCAGCTGATCGCCGACCACATTAAGAACGGTACCATTGTACCGGTAGAAATCACCTGTTCACTGCTGGAGAACGCCATGCTGGAGCACATGAGAAGTCTGGCCGGCTCTGCAGGCAGAGGCGACGAACCCATCGAGACGGGCAACTTTCTGATAGACGGCTTCCCCAGAAATCAGAACAACCTGGACGGCTGGGAGCGACAGGTGAACGACAAAGTGAACGTCAAGTTTGTGCTCTTCTTTGAGTGTCCGCGCGAGGTGTGCATCAATCGGTGTCTGGAACGCGGCAAAGAAGGCTCCGGTCGGGCGGACGACAATCCCGAGTC